GCCGCTCAGTCGCAGGGCTGCCCACTCCACAGGAGCTGCACTTCCAACAGCCGCGAGCAACGCTACCGCCCGGTTACGGGTCTGAGCATGCGTGAAAGCAGCAGCAGCTGGGGGGGGGGGGAGGGAAAGCAGCGGTGACCCGGATGTGCACGAGGCGCTTGTACTATGGACGCTAATTTTAATTCACTCTCCAAAGAACTGCCTTTCTTTTCACTTTGTATTTTAAGAGTATAACCCTAGATATATTGTTAGGATTAGGAACTACTGGGAAAACAGGCAGTAAATTTAAAATGTCTCTTTTTCTTCAGAAAAATGATTAACAGGTGTTGACTTGTTTTTTTTGAACCACTAATGGAGAAAGCACTTCATAATTTATGCTGGGTATTAAGTAGGATCTAGCCTGTAGTCACAATCTCATCAGGACACATAAATATTTCATAGTCTGAGCGTCTCATTTAAAGATCGATGAATATTTAATTGAAGTTGACCAACAAAATAAACCAAAGAATTACATTGCACTTAGAGTTTTTTTTGTTTGTTTGTTTTTGTTTTTTTTGTTTTTTTTGTTTTTTTTTTTTTTTGGTGGAACCAGGGATAGAATTCAGGCCCTTGTGCTTGCCAGACAAACGCTTATTCTACTGAGCTATCTCCCCAGCCCCATGCACTTAGATCTCAAATGAGCAAGCTCTTCATTTTCTCGAGTGGTCTCAAGCTAAAGGTATTCCAACTTCCTGAACTATTGTACGTAATTTTGTAAGTAATTCTCTTTTGCAAAAGACGCTTCAAAGGCACATAATAAAAATGGAGGAAAACATGGAATAAGATGAATTTTCAACTGTAAATGCAAGAGAAAGGTTCACTAAACTGGGGCCTAAATGACTTATTTAGTAATACATTAGTTAAAAATATTGTCAAGGGGCTGGTGAGATGGCTCAGTGGTCTAAAGCACCTACTTAGAACAAGCTAAGCTAAGCAAAGCACAGGGACCGCAGTTCGATCCCCCAGCACCACATGCCAGCCAGCCTCACCTCCTGGTGGGCTGAGCTGGCCACACACA